GATCTGGTCATCACAAAAATGTAAGGGATTGTTCCTTGGCAGGTTCCTTTAACTGATAAAACTTTCATTAAAATCTGTCCATTACTTTTTAAGTTCTCCTGTACTCAGACAGACACAAAACCTCTCCTAAAAACATAACCTATTTGTAGGAGGTAATTAGGACTACTGCAGCCTCTCCACATCAGGAGGGTAAAAACGTTTCCAACAGCCACACCTAGCTGTTGTTTCTGCTAAGCAGGCTTTCAAATGTTGCAGTGAAACACAGTTTAGAGTTTGCATGAGTTCATCCCAGAGCCCACATTACACATTCCCTTCTGCTTCATGGGAGGATTGCTCCACATTAACAGATTCTGAAGGGAAAACGTAGTGGACAGAAATGTTTTCTATCGTAAATGCAAAGAATGGTCTAAATTTGAGATTTTCTGTCTGGGTCTTTCTAAAGGGATCCAGATGTGAGACGTTTCAGTTTTTTTTATCATCAAGGTCATGCAAAAACATGCTGCATTTTTTCTCTATGGTTTAGGGTCTAAACATCTGAGCTGGACTCAGATCATGCATGGAGTGAATTTTATATGTTATCCAGTGTGTCCATAATAATTGAAATTTGAAAAACATCCAATCCAGACACAAAACTTTGAAACACATTTTAATTGTCGAAAGTAACTTTGTATTTTCTGTAATTTCTGTTTTGTTTTTTCAAATTTTCATTTCTGTATCTATTTCTTTAAAATATTTTATATTTTTGGTTTTTCAAGATCACATTCTCTCAACTCCAAGCCCCATAGAAACGATCACCATTGACCAATCGAAAATGTTGTTCCTAACACCCACACAGACCAATAGAAATGTCTTCATTCCTCCTATCCCCCCACCCCATAGTAAAGAAAATCTTAAAGAAGTTAATTCTGAAAATGAGAAATAATTGAAAACAGAAAATCCGTAGGGAAAAAAAATGAAAAAACATCAGGACAAAATCAGAGCAAACTGAAAAGTTACTCTCAAAACTTTCTTTTAATAAAATATCTTTCAAGGTTTAATTTTTGGGTTGAATCTTTTCCGGATTACAAAACATGTTCTTTGCTTGCAGGAATAATGGAACAAAATTCCCTCCATACTCATGATGCTGAAGCACCAACCTGTGATTCTAAGGATTTTCTTAAAGCAACAGAATCAAAATGTGCAGCAATGTTATTCTCTGTCTCCAGGAAAAACAGCAGAGGCTGACGGAGGACCAGCTGGCTGTAAACGACACCCTGGAGACGAGCAGAGTTTTCATCTCTGAAGCTGAGAGGACCGTAGCTGAGGTGGACGCTTTGACACAGGTGAGTGGGAACCGTTAGACCTATATATTCTGGAGGAATGGGCCAAAATGTCATCAGACTGGAGGAGAATGTGACCCAAGTCATAAAGTCTGACACACACTTCTAACAAATCTAATGTTTTATGGTGGCAGTGCACCCTGGTGCAGGAGTTTGCGCTGCAGTAGAAGGGTTGTCAGTGTGAGCCCTGGCTCTGGCTTTCAGTGTCTCTGTGTCCTTGGGCAAGACACATCACCTGCATTGCCTTCTGATGGTGGTCAGATGGTGGCGCCAGTGTACGGCAGCCTGGCTTCTGTCAGTGAGCCCCAGGGCAGCTGTGGCTATAATATAGCTCACCACCATAAGTGTGTGCATGAATGGGGTTTATTTTATTCCAAGTAATTTTTTCACTATGTCATTCATTCATTTATAAAAAATCTTACTTTGTTAAATAAATATTTAGTTTTGAGCTACATATTTAGTTTGCAAATTAAATATTTAGTTTGTTCAATAAATATTTTGCTCCAAATTAAATATTTATTTGACAAACTAAATATTTCGCTAGCATCAAGCTAGGAAAATATTGAGTTTGTTCAATAAATATTTAGTTAACAAATTAACATTTAATTTTCAAACTAAATGTTTAGTTTGAAGTTAAATATTTATTTAAAAAAAATATATATATATTTAGTTTGGAGCTAAATATTTCTTTAACCAACTTAATATTTAATTTGGAGCTAAATATTTATTTAGAAAACTAAATATTTAGTTTGAAGCTAAATATTTATTTAGAAAACTAAATATTTAGTTTGAAGCTAAATATTTATTTTAAAAAACTAAATATTTAGTTTGAAGCTAAATATTTATTNTGTGTCCTTGGGCAAGACACATCACCTGCATTGCCTTCTGATGGTGGTCAGATGGTGGCGCCAGTGTACGGCAGCCTGGCTTCTGTCAGTGAGCCCCAGGGCAGCTGTGGCTATAATATAGCTCACCACCATAAGTGTGTGCATGAATGGGGTTTATTTTATTCCAAGTAATTTTTTCACTATGTCATTCATTCATTTATAAAAAATCTTACTTTGTTAAATAAATATTTAGTTTTGAGCTACATATTTAGTTTGCAAATTAAATATTTAGTTTGTTCAATAAATATTTTGCTCCAAATTAAATATTTATTTGACAAACTAAATATTTCGCTAGCATCAAGCTAGGAAAATATTGAGTTTGTTCAATAAATATTTAGTTAACAAATTAACATTTAATTTTCAAACTAAATGTTTAGTTTGAAGTTAAATATTTATTTAAAAAAAATATATATATATTTAGTTTGGAGCTAAATATTTCTTTAACCAACTTAATATTTAATTTGGAGCTAAATATTTATTTAGAAAACTAAATATTTAGTTTGAAGCTAAATATTTATTTAGAAAACTAAATATTTAGTTTGAAGCTAAATATTTATTTTAAAAAACTAAATATTTAGTTTGAAGCTAAATATTTATTTAAAAAAAAAACTAAATATTTAGTTTGAAGCTAAATATTTATTTTAAAAAACCTAAATAATTAGTTTGGAGCTAAATATTTATTTAAAAAATACTAAATTTTTAGTTTGAAGCTAAATATTTATTTAAAAAAAACTAAATATTTAGTTTGAAGCTAAATATTTATTTAAAAAAACCTAAATATTTAGTTTGGAGCTAAATATTTAGTTAACAAATTTAATATTCAGTTTGCAATCTAAATATTTAGTTTGAATCTAAATATTTATTTATAAGTAAGGTATTTATAAATTAATGAATGACAGTGAAAAAATGAATTGGAAAAAATAAACCTTTTATTTTTCTCTTAAAGCACGCCAAATAAGCATGATTATTGCTTCTAATTTTTGACTGCTTAACTTTAGAAACGACGCCCCTTAGTAATATTGTTCATCTTAGAAACCGTTTTTTTCTATGGAAGTTTCTGGTTTCTGCTGCCTGTTTGTGTTTACTGTATATCTGCATGGTCAATGTGCAGAGTGTGAGAGGATACCACGCTGAGATAGACGGCGCCGATCAGAGGCTGACAGAGAAAATGGAGCGTCTCTCGCTGGCGGACAGAGATCTGGTTCAGAAGGCGGACGATCATGCTGCTGAGCTGGAAACACAAGCCAATGAGTTGGAGGAGTGAGAAACATCAATGAGTCCAAATAAATGACTTTTTCTGGGGTTTTGATTTTAAACAGAGCAGATAAAGACAATGGGGGTGGATTGTTGTTTTCTGTTGCATTATAGCAAATTAGGTCAAAATTTCCTTTGTTTTTTTCCACCCTTATTATTAAATCATTTAATTAGCTTAAAATGTGATTGTTGAATTTCGTCCATGTCTCCTGCAGGGATCTGAAAGAAAGCGATGCCAATGGCTTCGTTCAGAGAGCGATAAGCGCCGCCAATGTTTACAACAACATAGTGAAATATATCGATGATGCCAACATCACTTCACTCACTACGCTCAACTCTTCTCAGAGAGCAGAAGATGTACGACTGAGTGACACAAACCAGTATTCGCCTTCCAGGTTATTTCACATTCAGGCACCAGCGTGACTTTTGTGCTCTTTGTGTTTAAGGCCATCGGTGGGATTAAAACCCAGCTTGATTACCTGGTGACACAGAGTGAAAATACGTTCCTGAAATCTGTTTCATTACGATCTGAACAGCATGGTAAGGAAAGTCCTCAATCGCCTTTATGTGATGCTGTCCAGTGTGCTGCTGATTCTCAGTATGTCAACCTGTCACAGATGTGCTGACCCAAGTGGCCGACGGTGTGGCATACATCGAGGAAACCCGGCTTGCTAATAAGAACATTCAGGAAAAACTGGAAGAGGTGGCGAAAGACATCAGGGTTATTCAGAAGGGTAAGAAGGGCTGAATCCCAAACTGTCCATCCATCCATTATTGAACACCTTGTAGGGCTGGACGATATAGAAAAAAAGCTTATCGATAAAAAAAAAAAAATGCATATTGATCGATATCGATAATTATTGAAAAGATTTGAAACCATATTTTATGTGCAGCTCTGCCTGGACTTTTTATGATATTGCTAAATTATTTAATTTTAATAAAAAACACAAACACAGACTTCCAATTAAATATTTATTTAACCAACTTTTTTAACCATAATAAAATTGTTTTAATGAAAAATAACTTAAGAGACC